TTTTCTAAATCGAATCAATTTTCATCAGGTGTGGCTAGCTCAGTTCTCAACGCTGATCACGGTGATATTTGTCACCCGGATGGTGCCTAGCATGCGCAGAAAATTCTCTCCGTGGATTATTACAATACTGCCTCTTGGGATGGGCGATCCTAGAACAGTGAAATCCACTTCCTTCAGGATGCACTTCCTAGTTCTGGCTCTTTGTGGCTATATACTCACTCAATCTTATTTGGCCAGTCTTAGCGGAATCCTTACAAAGCCAAGATCATCGTCAGAGATGCAAACTCTTGAGGAACTGGAAGAGAGTGATTATCCATTATACGGATTACAGACAATAAGGTTACAACTTATGGAGTCGAACCCCAAGTTATATAAACATTTTAAGGTACTTTATGACTAATTTAATTTAATACAAATTTGACTTTGAATCAACAATGAAATTTAGGAAGTGAGCATGAACGAGTACTTTGAGATGTTCGACCAAGTGATAGCAGGTCGTAAGAAGGTAGCAACACACGCTGCAATGACACAGGTATACAGTTGGCTTTTAAGACAGTTCAAAGTCTTAAGGAGGTACGACCAAAAAACAAATCCAACTAACCGATCTGAATTTTTTGTATGTTCTTGGCAGCCACGTAATCTTTAAGCGTGCAAAGTTTCTAAAAGATCGATCGTACCGTATACATGGTATACGCAGTGAAAATAACCTAAATGGCACGACGCTGTATACAGGAAGCAATCGTACCTCCTTAAACGTAATTCCTGTCCAATAGTACTGATTGATATTTTGACAGATCCTATTTATCAACACTACGTCCATTGACATGAACTTTCACGTGATACCAGAAAAGATAGGATTTTACTCCATATCGATGCTCCTACCAGAGACCAGCCTGATTCTACCGACATTCGACAAGCTGATTTCTATCGCGGTTGAAAATGGTTTATTTGATTACTGGATAATGCAACAACTGAAGGAAGGAAGAGAGAAGAATCTGATTTCCGTAAAGTTGAACAAGGAGATCGCGAGTAATAAGGAAACTTCGAATGTCAAAGCAATAACACTGACGCATTTACAGGGTGTCTTTTTCTTACTGGTCATCGGACTAGTTATCAGCTCTCTCACGTTCATAGGCGAATTGGTTGTTGGATCCAAAAACGTACCGCCCCATCAGCGCCACTTGAAAGCACTGCGCCTGAGACGTATACAGTAAAGCATAAACGAGAATCGATTAAAAATATAATCCTGTGTAATATTATTAACCGAAACGGTGAATCAGTAAGAATAATGTAAAAATCCTTTAAACAGTCGATACAGCCTCAGATAGGATGCAGCACGGTTTCAAGTCTCCCCTAATATCCCTTTATCCTTCCTCTCGCCAGCACTCTCACGGCTGGAGCAGTTTAATTTCCCTCCAACTCCCTTGTACAAGGGTTGGCAACTTGACGACTCGAAAGTTACAGCGTCGATTACGTCCTCGTAAGATGAGCCAGGAGTGCTAAGTGACGGGCAGCATTTGGATCAGACCGGAAAAGTCTAAAATTCCTTCCATTAACATGTGCCATAATACACTGCCATGTGCATTGTCCCATAATACATTCCCATGTGTA